TACAAAGTTTTTCAACCTCAGCCTTATATGCTTTGAACATGTCTAGTATTTGAGATTTCTCATAAATGAGATATATGTAGTCATAGTGAGAAAAATTCGTCTATAAATATAATAAACTATTGTTGATCATTCCAAGAAGTCGAAGTGAATGGCCCACATATACCCGTATGAACTAATTCTAAGATGTCTGAAATTCTATTGACACCTAATCTTCTTATATTTGTTTGTTTTCCCTTGATGTAATTAACAAAAACACTTAAGTCTGAAAATTAAGGAAATCAAGAATTCCTTTTGATACAAGAGTTTACATTCTCTTTTGAGAAATGTTACCTAATCGTTTGTGTCATAACAAAGTAAAATTCTCATTGATTAATTTATGTTTAATACAATGTGAATTCACATGCCAGTTTTCTTTATAAGAGTCAATTGTATTAAGTAGATATAGGTTATCGTAACTGTATAACGAACTAGTACCCACAATATATGAATTAAGAAAAATATCAACCTGATTATTTCTAATTGAACAAGATTACCAAATTTGTCTAATATAGAAATAGAAACCAAATTTCGCCTAAAAGACGGTACTGCAAATATCTCTTTTATATTCAAATCATAATAAGTCTTTAATAATAACCTAAAGTCCCTATAGCCTTAACTTTAACTGATTTACCATCGCCCTACATAGATAAATCTTTCAGTATCAATTGGCTTTGACAGTTTAGGCAACCCCACATAGACACACTTATATGAGTAGTGGTATTGAAATTTATCCCCCAAGTGAGTCTATGTTTTAACACTAAATTAACATTAAAATAAACTAAAGTGAGAAGTGTACTTTTCTTTACATGTCAAGTGTGGTATTTAGTACTTTCTCTCTTTATGTATCCCAAATTTCCACAAAAATAATAGTCAGATTTATCGTTTTCAGACCTTTTGCTGTTTATTTTGAATTGTACTGAATGCAACTTTCTTATTTTTTATAACTTGTCTTTAGAGATACTTGCCATTTCAGTCATGTCTTGCTATAGACTTTCTTCTTCTTGCACATAATATGTAATGAGTTCATTAAGAGTCCACTTCACCTTTTGACAGTTGCAATTGATCTTAAATTAGTCAAGTTGTACAAGAATAGAAATTAAAACTAACTGCACGAGCAAGTTATCAGAAAACTCAAGTTTTAATGCATTTAGTTTTACAGCAAGATGAGACATTTCTATGATGTAATTGTAGGTAAACTCTGAACAGTTAACTGAAT